GTGGCGCGTGCCTGTAGTCCCAGCTACTGAGGAGGTTTGAGGCAGGAGAATTGCCTGAACCCAGGAGGCGGAGGTTGCGGTGAGCCGAGATCGCGTCATTGCACTCCAACCTGGGTAACATGAGTAAAACTCCGTCTAAAAAAAAAAAAAAAAAAAAAGAATGACCTTATTTTTTACTCATTTTTAAAAGCCTTATTAGCTCCTTCAAGCTGTATAGTCAGTCATCAAATTGCTTCTTCATTTTAATACTACTTGCAGCTTCTAAGGAGGCCTGCGTTACAGCATTTGGCCACCAGAGTATTTAGCTTCTTAATTTTTAGTAATTGAGATGACCTACCTTGATAGAAGTGGCTTGGCAAGTGAAAAAAGGCTACACATTCCAATATTTTAAAAGAATAATAACGTCCACATACTCCATTTGCAGAACCCACTTAAAAATAATAATAATGTGCATAAAGGGGTTGTTTGTTTCATTTCATTTGATTGTTTTAATTTTCAGATGCCAAAGCGATCATGTTTGCTGTGGAATGTGTGGCTTTCCTCAAAAAGCCATGCAGGAACTCAGCCAGTGGGGGGTGGGGCTGGTATCCTTTTAAAGTACCTGGGCCAGCCAGGTGCCGTATTTGGTTTGGGGCTTTAAAATGTTCCCAAAATGTGGCCAAACCTGCATTGCTGGAAAAATAATTCCTATAACACAGCCACACAGACTTGCCAGGCATTTCAGTTATTTTTTTTCCTACGACACATGGTGAAGGTTTCCAAATTAAATAGTGTTTCTATATTTGAAAATGAGAAAAAGTCATTGAGTAAGAAAAAAAAGGATAAAGAAAAAAGTATGGTAGCTAATGCCCAACAAGTTGAAATGACAGCAGCTTTGAAGGCCAATTAAGTCAATATAAAATGAAATCAAGAATGATGGCGGTAGTTGTAGGCTACATCTGGGGAATAAAAGAGCCACTCCGTAAACACAGCATTTTCTTCTGAGCCAGATAGAGCTCTTTAGAGGCCCCCAGCCTTGGGAAGGATCTTCCTTCCTGAAACCCCAATGTGGAATTTAAAATAAAAACAGAATGAATATATGTAACACTTCATGTATTTGTGAAGTGTTACATATATTTAAAGATCAGAAAATTGAGCTGTTTACTTATGATTTCTGCACTTTACAATGAAAGGCAAGTAAAATACAAATGTTACGTATGTATGCTGAAATTAAAATAAAATTTCATTAGGGTCCTTCTAATGCAGCACTGATTCTGATAGAAAAAAATGAATAAAATTAGAACATAATGTTATTATATTATAAATTAATCACCATGCTCTTAACTTACTTTGACACAGCAATAGCTTTAACTTGTATTTTTCCATCAGGCAGAGTAATAGGTTTTATATACTTAAATGTGTTATTTTCACCATAACCAACTCTCTTTAGAAATTCAGGTTTGCTGCCATCCAGAGTATAATATATGTTGACATCTGGGGTGTCTGAAAAATCCAAAACAAGATAACTATCATTAACACCAAAATAGCAAGTTCCTGAATAATGCCTGTGGGTCCATTTAATATTTAAGATTTCAGTGTGTGATTTAAGATTGAAAGTTGCGATTTAAGATTGTGTTAATCTCCTTAAATAACTGACCTATAGGTTATTATATATACATAATGAAAATGAATAGTAATAACAATAATGCAGTTCTTCTCTGTACCAGCACTGTGATTTACATGAACGAACTCATTTAGTCTGTACAATCCTATAAGGTAGATCCTATTTTACACCCATTTTATAGATGAGGTAACTGAGTCCTAGAGAGATTAATAAAGTTGCTAAATAATAGAGGAGTTGTGGTTTGACTTATGCTAGGTTGGACCCATAGCCCACACTCTTGAACCACTATGCTTTTTTGCCTCTCCAACAGGGTACTGATAGAAACATGACTCAAGACTCAAAAGGTCAAAAGGTGTCTCCCCCGACCCTTGACACCAGCTGTCCGCAGGCTATCAATAGTATCTTCAGTAACTTTCAAGAAATATTTTATATCCATACAAGCATTTATGTACATATTATTATTTCCCCCTCTCTTTTGACACAAATGATGGCATATTATCACCTGTTCCACACATTTCATTTTTCATTTAATAGTATGTCTTATATTGGTATATAAAGAGCTTCCTAGGAAATAAATTTCAATTATTTTTTTTAAAAAAAGAGTTTCCTCATTCTTTGTTATAGCTGCATCACATTCTCTTATACAGATGAACAATAATTTAACCAATTCCCTACAGACAGATCTTAAGGCTATCTTCTTTTTTCCTTTTCTTTGTTTCCTTTGCAGTTATAAGCACTGTAATAAATAATTTTGTAAACAATTACTTCTGTAAATATATGGGCAAGACAAATATGTAGAACTAGTACTGTAATCTTTTTCTTTTTTATTTATTTTTTGTTGTTGTTGAGACTGAGTATTGCTCTTGTTGCCCGGGCTGGAGTGCATTTGCACAATCTCAGCTCACTACAACCTCTACCTACAGAGTTCAAGCGATTCTCTGGCCTCAGCCTCCTGAGTAGCTGGGATTATAGGCACCCACCACCACATCCAGCTTATTTTTGTATTTTTAGTAGAGACGGAGTTTCGCCATGTTGACCAGGGTAGTCTCAAACTCCTAACCTCAGGTGATCTGCCCTCTTCGGCCTCCCAAAGTGCTGGGATTACAGGTGTGACGAACCATGCCCGGCCAGCATTTGTAATCTTGATTAATATTTCCAAATTGGCTGGGTGCAGTGGCACATCCTGTAATCCCAGCTATTCAGGAGGCTGAGGCAGGAGAATCACTTGAACCTGGGAGGTGGAGGCTACAATGTGTTGAGATTGTGCCACTGCACTCCAGCCTGGCAACATAACGAGACTCCATCTCAAAAATACACATACATATACATATATATATTTCCAAACTGCCCTCTGTAGATGGTTAAACAATTTACACTGACACCAGTAATGCATGAAAGCACCTATTTGACCACAATCTTCCTCATATAGTGTGTTATCCTTTTTTTTTTTTCAGTTTTCCTAAGAATTCTGAGCACATATATTAAAATGTTTAATTTGGTTTGACAGTTTAAAAAATCGTATCAGCTTTTAAGCTAAAGGAGAACACAGATAATAATACGTATTCTTAGTCGGCACTCTTGGTCTAAGCAGCACAGAGGCATACCGTAAATGCAGAAAGTTTGTGTACATTTCAGTTGTTAAAATATATAATTGGTTTAAAAAAAGACAAAAATGTAAACAAATACATAATTGAAATTTCAAAGTCCTTTTTATACAAATATTTGTTCCTATGTTTTACCTATAAAACTTTTCTTCCTCCGGGCACGGTGGCTCAAGCCTGTAATCCCAGCACTTTGGGAGGTCGAGGCGGGTTGATCACGAGGTCAAGAGATTGAGACCATCCTGGTCAACATGGTGAAACCCCGTCTCTACTAAAAATACAAAAAATTAGCTGGGCATCGTGGCACGTGCCTGTAATCCCGGCTACTCAGGAGGCTGAGGCAGGAGAATTGCCTGAACCCAGGAGGCGGAGGTTGCGGTGAGCCGAGATCGCGCCATTGCACTCCAGCCTGGGTAACAAGAGCGAAACTCCGTCTCAAAAAAAAAAAAACAAAAAAAAAAACTTTTCTTCCTTATGTTAATTATATATGTGTATATGTATATATGTGTATGTGTACATATACACACATATTTAAGAATTTGGGCTGGATGCCATGGCTTTTACCTCCCAGCACTCTGGGAGGCCAAGGTGGGCAGATCACCAGAGGTCAGTAGTTCCAGTAGTTCCACCCTGGCCAAGGTGGGCAGATCACCTGAGGTCAGTAGTTCCAGTAGTTCCACCCTGGCCAATGTGGGCAGATCACCTGAGGTCAGTAGTTCCAGTAGTTCCACCCTGGCCAACGTGGTGACACCCAACCTCAATTAAAAATACAAAAATTAGCCAGGCGAGGTAGTAGGCGCCTGTAATCTCAGCTACCGGGGAGCTTGAAGCAGAAGAATTGCTGGCACTTGGGAGGCAGAGATTGCAATGAACCAAGATTGTTCCATTGCACTTTGGCCTGGGTCAACAACAGCAAGACTCCATCTCAAAAAAAAAAGGCCGGGCACGGTAGCTCACGCCTGTAATCCTAGCACTTTGGGAGGCCAAGGTGGGTGGATCACCTGAGGTCAGGAGTTCAAGACCAGCCTGGCCAACATGGTAAAACCCTATCTTTAAAAGAAAAAAAAAAGAATTTGAAGAATAAATATTAGCAGGATATACATTCACTGCTTTCTTTCTTTTTTTTTGAGACAGTCTTGCTCTGTCACCCAGGCTGAAGTGCAGTGGTTCGATCTCAGCTCACTGCAACTTCCGCCTCCAGGGTTCAAGCAATTCTCCTGCCTTAGCCTCCTGAGTAGCTGGGATTACAGGCATTGGCCACCGTGCCTGGCTAATTTTGTATTTTTAGTAGAGACAGGGCTTCACCATTTTGGTCAGGCTGGTCTCGAACTCCTGGCCTCAGGTGATCCACCCAATTTGGCCTCCCAAAAGTGCTGGGATTACAGGAGTGAGCCACCATGGCCAGCCCAGACTGCTTTATTTCTGTAATTACAGTTAAGATTTATTTTAGCATTACTACATGCCAAATCCTGTGCACCTCATACACACACAAACCTATTTAATCCTCAAAATGGCTCTAAAAAGTAGACATTATTATCCCTGCCTTACAGTGAGGAAACTGAGACTCAAAAAGGCTACGTAATGTACCCAGGGTCACAAGAAGTTGCCAAGGCAGAGATTTTAAGTCTCCAATTTATCTGACTAGAAAGCCTGTAGGTCAAATTTATTATACCAGCTAAATAATGAGCATACTGGAAAAATCTGGGGAAGTACCAGGACATTTTTTTTTTTTTTAGATGGAGTCTCGCTCTGTTGCCCAGGCTGGAGTGCACTGGTGCGATCTTGGCTCACTGCAACCTGTGCTGCCTGAGCTCATGCAATTCTCCTGCCTCAGCCATCTGAGTTGCTGGGATTACAGGTGCCCACCACCACGTCTGGCGATTTTTTGTATTTTTAGTAGAGTCAGAGTGTTGCCATGTTGACCAGGTTTGTCTTGAACTCCTGACCTCAAGTTATCTGCCTGCCTTGCCTGCCAAAGTGCTGGGATTATAGGTATGAACCACCACACCAAGCCAGCACCAGGACATCTTACCTTGGCTAAGGTAAGTCAAGATATTGCTGAAATTATACAAATAAAGGGTGGCCAAAGCAAACCATTTTCATCCAAATGTATACCACTCTATAAACCATCAATGGACAGCACTGTTTCAAATTTTAGAAGTTTCACAAATTTCCCAAAGAGCAGAGCAAAGAGTGAGAAAGCATGTAAAGAGATAAATCAGCAACCAGATAAACACAAGAAATATAACAATGTTATTTTAAACAATTTCAAATATATGCGATCCTTACCTGATTTCATTTCCAAAAGTGTATTGTTATCAATTTCATGATTAGCTTTTCCAGGCTGAGGTACTCGTAGTGGTATGATCTGAGGGACACACACTGAACCAGCAGTCATTTTCTCTCCTTATATATATACATATATTTAAAAAACTCCAATGTGCACTTATAGCTGTACACAAAAGCTGAAGAGCAGCACTTAATTTAAATGCAGCAAAACTAGTAAAAATAAAAAAGAATACTGTTAATATGGTACTATAAATACTATTCCCTCTTTAATGGAAATAATTATTGCATTCCAGCTGTATTTACTGTTGAGGTCTTATGTGGGGTTTCGATTATCTAAATACCTCACTTCTGAGAAAGAAGTGTAAATGAATGAGATGGGGGAAAGAAGTTACTTTAAAAGAACAAATTAAATGAGTAAGGCAAAAGAGAGACTATCACTAATTCTCTGACTTGATTTCCCTCTAAATCATTATCACCTTTTCCTGCCTCTGGTGTGTGTCACCACTCTTGGTTTCAGGGCAAGTCATCATACAAGGGGAACAGAAGTAACTCTGTGTGTACCACAAAATGTTAGTTAGAACTAACTTTTTTGGGAAAGCTCCAGGTTCACAGCCTTGCCATTGTCACCATAGCAGTTCTAGAATTTGAAAGCTGCAAAGACACTTTAGAAGGACTGCAGAGTACTACTACTCAGTGGAAAGGAAGTTTGCAAGAAGATAAACAGTGACCAACAAACACAAGCCTCCCATTCCATCTACTGTATTTATAAATCCTAGTATTTATAATTAACTGTCAGTATGAAAGCCTTACTGGTCTTTTTGGGGATGAGGGTAGGGAGGAAGGTTGTCATATGTTTAATGCACAGCAGGTTTCAGGGGCAAAAATGCTCACCTTAACACAGCAACCATTTACATCTCTGTATTGCCTTTTCAAATTTCATTAAGAATCCATAGATTTTACTCAGTTATAATACACATATTCATTCCATTTTTATAGTCTACTTCTTGCATTCTCCCTGTATTTTTTACAGTTTTCCATGTATTTATTTATCCATTTGTGGCTGAGCTATCTCTCGTTTCTTTTTAGTTTTGCCTGTTGCAGTTATAATAATGCTGATCTGAACATCTCTGCAGTCTGAGCTTTGTACAGACCGTATTCTCGAAAGTGGGGTAACTAAATTTAAGGGATGAACGTAATGCCTTGTTGGATAGTTTCGGATCGAGGGCCAAGAATATAAACTACAGATACTGACAGCACCGCAATAGCTCCTACAGGAGTGTGGCTGACTTGAGACTTGCCCATAGTCGCATTTCCATTCAAGTGAAAGGCAGATAAAATAAAAGTAATTGAAAATTTAATTCTAAATAAAAATATGTAGGAGAGGGAGTAATTCGCGAGCGTCAACTAGCAGCTGCCCTTAGGAAGCTGGGGTGGCCGGGGCCCCCATGCAAAGGGAATCAAGAAAAGGGCGGATCCATCAGGCCCAATGGCAGCGTGCAGTCAACGGGATGCCCAGACCCCTCAATTCTCCCAACTTGGACCGCCCCGCCTCGCAACCCGGATCAGGAACCCCTTTTGGTAGTCCCCGCCCATCACGGGTGGCCAAGGACACCTACATCCTTTCCGCTGGAGTAAGGGAAGCTCTTCTCCTCTAACCGCCCTCCTCTTCCTCTAGCCGATCGAGACCCCTAATGCGTCTCTACCGCCCTCAACCCGATCGCCGGCCTCTCACCGCCTTTTGCCTCCTCCTTTGCCGCCACCCGGGTAACCACAGACGCTGCGAGCCGCGCCCCGCCCACTGGGAGCAGGGCAGATGATTAGCGGAAACGCAGCTTCTTAGCAACTAGCCCCGCCCCTGCCTCGCCGCAGGGAGACTGGTATCCGCCGGGAGCTCCTTTCCCAGGGCTTTCCAATAGGCATCTAAGAATATTCCTTCATAGGGTTGCAAAGTGCTAAAAGTTGGCTTCCCAACTCAGAATGAAGGAACCAGACGTGTGCGTCCGATGGGAATTGACATTCTGGAAAACAAGAATAAGAACCTGTAGTGGCGCCTATAAGTAGGAAGGAGCAGGCGCGGCTTGGCCACCTCCCACCGAAAGGCAAGGAAGGACCGGCTGCGACACGAGGAAAAAGGCCCCTCGCCCTCGGCCGAGCGCTTTCCTCTACTGGTTCCCCGGGTTCCCCTGCTTGCTAGCGGGCTGTTCAGTGCGTCTTTCCCCGCAGGCGTCAGGTACTGCGCCTTCATGGCGGAGGTGAAGGTGAAGGTGCAGCCGCCCGACGCGGATCCGGTTGAAATAGAAAACAGGTAAACCAGGGAGGCTCCGGCTTGGGACTCTCGCTTTTTGGGAAGTTGTGATGATGCGCTTCCTTCCAACTTTGACGTGATCAGTGCTTTGAGAGGAGACCCTCGGCTTTCCTTCCCCGTAGTACACTTTTGAATGCATGTTCTGATCCAGGATCGGTCTTGTCAGTAAGGGAACGTCTATGACAAAACGTTTAGGCAGAGTTAGGGCGCAGTTGGTGATTACGAAGCAACACTAAGCCAGGTGTTTTCAGTGCAGTGTTGAACTGAAGACTTTTAGAGCACCCAAAGCTTCTGCCACTTTTATATTCTTTACCGAGGCACTGCCACTCTTAGATTCTCACGTAGTTTTGAAAGACCGAACTTTCTTAAACTGTTAAGAATAATACATTTGTTGGTCCTGTTGACTAGGTGAAGACTTTGACTTATTTTTGTTTGGTAGGTATGATTCCAAAAACAGGCCCCCATTATGGTGAATTGTCATAACAAATTTTGGCTTCCCACCAGAAACATCTGCATTTGCTTCCTGCTTGCAGGTTTATAACTTAACTTTGTCATGCTTATTATATGAGAAAATTGAAGTCTCAACTTTAATATTTTTCCTGTGATTTCATTAGATTTTTGCTCTGATTTAAAGTTCATATTAGTGAGAAAAAAAATATTCTTCTTAAATAACAGTAATACTGTAAACATGTATTTAGAAATAATCTTCAATTTCTAACATGCTTTAATCCAAAACCATCACAGAAACCCAGATTGTCTGCCAATTGTGAAAAACGCACAATTTCAAACTATTCTGCTTGTATTTTTACACCCACTGCCTCTTGAAGCAGGTAACCATGAAGAGTAACATTAATACCTTTGTTTCTAGGATTATAGAATTATGTCACCAGTTCCCTCATGGAATCACAGACCAAGTAATTCAGAATGAAATGCCTCATATAGAAGCCCAGCAGCGGGCAGTGGCCATCAATAGGTTGTTGTCTATGGTAAGGTGAATCTAAGTAATTTTCATAATTACTGATATGCTGATTATCATTGGGTTTTATTATGTAGTTGTGATGGTTAATTTCATGTCAACTTGGCTAAGATACTGTATTCCTAGATACCTACTTAAACATTTTTATTGGAGTGTCTGTGAGGGTGTTTCTGGAAGAGATTAGCGTTTTGAATTGGTGAACTGAGTAAAGTGGATGTGGGTCCATTGTGGACGAGCATCATCCAATCCATTCAGGGCCTAAATAGAACAAAATGGCAGAGGAAGATTGAATTCACTCTTTGAGTTATATCTTGAGCTGGGCTATGGATCTCATGCCATTAGCACTGCTGGTTCTCAGACCTTCAGACTCGGACTGGCATCTACGCCATCAGCTGTCTGCTCTCAGGCCTTTGATCTCCAACACCAACTTTCCTGGGTCTCCAGTTTGCAAAGGGCAAATCATGGGATTCCTCAGCCTCCATAATCACAGAGCAAATACCTTATACTGAATCTTTCAAGAGAGAGATGCATCCTATTAGTTCTGTTTCTCTGGAGAACCCTAATACAGCAGTCATAAAACGAGAAAGGGTATTAGGTTTGATTGATAAGACTCTAAGCCAGGAAACAGGTCAAACTGCCTGAATTGAAAAAAGAAGAAATAACTATGCATTATAAGACAAATGAAGTAAATGTATTATCTTATAACTGTTGTATTTATTAATTGCCACTGTCGTACATAAGCGTAGTCTGTTGTCACCTTCTGTTTGCTTCCTACTGCTAGTGTTGGGCCATTTCCTATGAAATATACCATCCCTTCCACCTCGCACCTGCCCCCGATTTTTCTGAGTCATAGCAGAGCCGAGTCATCAGGGCTTCATTCTCCACATTGTCACTCTGAGCATTTCAGCAAGTAAGAATGAGTCCAGTTGAATGAAGAATGCTGGGCCTTGGGGAGGAAGTGCAGCCTTAGCCCCCAGTGGCACCACAGTGGAATTTATCAGTAAAGCCATTCTCCAACTGTCCAGAAACAAACAAACAAGACTGTCTAAAAACCCACCTAGTGGGGCCCCATGCTCTAAATCTCTCCTTACTTCATCATCAAAACATCCTTTTCCTGAGAGAATTTCAGCTTGGCTTCAGTAGCAATTAGGTTAAAGAGTTATATGCCAAGGCCTCATCTGAATGACTGATTTGGTTTTGTGTGTGTGTGTGTGTTTTTTTTTTTTTTTTGAGACGGAGTTTCGCTCTCGTTACCCAGGCTGGAGTGCAATGGCGCAATCTCGGCTCACCGCAGCCTCCGCCTCCTGGGTTCAGGCAATTCTCCTGCCTCAGCCTTCTGAGTAGCTGGGATTACAGGCACGTGCCACCATGCCCAGCTAATTTTTTTGTATCTTTAGTAGAGATAGGGTTTCACCATGTTGACCAGGATGGTCTCGATTTCTTGACCTTGTGATCCACCCGCCTCGGCCTCCCAAAGTGCTGGGATTACAGGCATGAGCCACCGCGCCCAGCCAGTTTTTGTTTTTTTCTTTTTAGTTCATGAATTTCTCCTCAGAAGGACTGTTGTTTTTTAAGTCTACTAGGCTTGTTGGATTTCCAAGGGCTCTGGATGTGGAGATTTGGGGTCAAGTGAATCTTTTCTTAAACCTTTCCCATCAGTTTTCTAGCTCAAGGGTTGCCAAACTTTTTCTACAAAGTGCCAGAGAGTATATGTTTCAGGCTTTGTGAGCCATATGGTTTCTGTCACAACTATCATTTTAGCAAGAAGTAGCCATGGTCGATGATACATAAACAAATGGCTACAGCCAGGTCCCAACAAAACTTTATAAAAACAAGCTGTGGGCTGGGCACAGTGGCTCATGCCTGTAATCCCAACACTTTGGGAGGCTGAGGCAGGCAGATCACGAGGTTAGGAGTTCGAGACCAGCCTGTCCAACATGGTGAAACCCTGTCTCTACTAAAAATACAAAAAATTAGCCGGGCATGGTGGTGCACACCTTTAATCCCAGCTACTTGGGAGGCTGCGACAGGAGAGTTGCTTGAACCTGGGAAGTGGAGGTTGCAGTGAGCTCTGATTGCACCACTGCCACTCTAGCCTGGACAACAGAGCAAGACTCCATCTTTAAAAAAAAAAAAAAAAAAAAGCAAACGATCTGAACCTCACCAAACTAGGAAAGTTAGTTGTCTTTTCTCACCCATGCCTTCTGATCTTTAGGAGAGTTGTGGCCGAGCATGGTAGCTCATGCCTGTAATCCCAGTACCTTGAGAGGCCAAGGCACGCAAATCACGAGGTCAGGAGTTTGAGACCAGCCTAACCAACATGGTGAAACCCTATCTCTACTAAAAATACAAAAATTAGCCGGGTATGATGGCGCATGGCTGTGATCCCAGCTACTCAGGAGGC